AACAAAAAACGGAAAGAGTTACGATAATTGATCAATTAAAAGAACTAAATGTTCACATTTGTTCCGTCCACTAGCGGTCCTACGTCAAGCTCCTGTTCTTGCCCCTAGGCACAGACCCTTCTCTTTTTTTTCTATAAAAATATGCATAGTAAAATGTCAGCTTTCCTTAGGCAATACACGCCATCAGCAATACGTGACAGGGTGAACCATACGCTTATTTAAAATTAAAAAACATGTATTTAAATATACATACATTATTTATCCATCGCATCATATACAAAGATTGACATATTGCATAGAAATATTACAATAAATAAAAAAACATGTTGTTTCACCTTTACTGCGGCAAAACTAATCATTTTGAAAGGAGCAGAATAGGCCATCTATCAACCTAAGCTTTGTTTTGGATTTGAGGTGCATTGCGACTAGAAACACTAGAATAAGAGACCAGCGGAGACACTGTTATGATTCCAATCGAACTGTCAAAAGCGGTTCCAATCTGAAATGTTTACAAATGGTTTGTTTCAATTAGGGAGGAGTATTGAAATCGTTTAACTATCACTCATGTACTCGATCGTCGGTGCATTGGCGAAGTCACTCGCAAGCAGTTACAAATGCAAGTGATGCCAGAATTACTTTGATGTTTATCTTGTTGCCAAATTCATGTTTTTTTTCTCCGCTGGTCTCTTATTCCAGTGTTTCTAATTTCGACGTTTTTGGCATTGCGAGACAGACGGTACACTATCGGCTGATAAATTAATTTCAGTTCTATAAAACTGCCAAGGAAGTAGCCCAATCATGATCCTTGGTCGTGATATACATTCTATAAATTGTTATCTTAAAAATGTATTGAAAAAAGGTGAATGGAAGCTGTTTTTTTAGTTTGCTGAGCATGGTAAATGCTGACTTCGTCAAATCATTTATCTATTATCGTGTGGGTGGGGTAAATAAAGTCTAAGAATGCTTAATGTTGGCCACCCGATGTCCGCAGAAACGCGAAGGCCGATGTCGCTGACGATAATGGGTAAAAGTATTGATGTTGCCGACATTAAATTTTATCCTGCATTTTCATCATTGTTGACATACACTCAATGTTTTGACAAGGTTTAACATTTTAATTTTAATTTTTGGTGACTGACCCTTCTTGCCCCATCTTGCTCCGCGCTTATTCAAAGGCCACATAAAAAAATTAAATCTTGTTCAAAAAAGTATTATGTATCACATTTTTTTCTTGTAGGAGGGTTGCATGATACTTCATTCTGTCAGAGTATAAAGGGTGATACAGTCAAAATTTGGTCAAGGGAAAACGCGTGTAAATCGGTGAAATCGTTTATTTAAAAAATCAAATTAAATTTCTTTTTCAAGTTCAATTAGTATAAAATTCAGGAAAAATATTCAGTTAGGCTTCCGCTTTTCCATTGCCTTGAACTGCTGCTCGCCCTTAGCAGTTTTTTGGTCTTCTTTAGGTTCCGCTTGACAATAGCCCAGTATTTCTCAATTGGGCGGAGCTCTGGCGTGTTGGGAGGGTTCTTGTCCTTGGGAACCACCTGCACGTTGTTGGCGGCGTACCACTCCATGGCCTTTTTACCGTAATGGCAAGATGCCAAATCCGGCAAAAACAGTACGGAACAACCGTGTTTCTTCAGGAAAGGCAGCAGACGTTTATTCAAACACTCTTTCACGTAAATTTCTTGGTTGACAGTCCCGGAAGCTATGAAAATGCTGCTTTTCAAGCCACAGGTACAGATGGCTTGCCAAACCAGATATTTCTTTGCGAACTTTGACAGTTTCATGTGCTTGAAAACATCTGCTACCTTTCCCCTTCCTTTTGCCGTATAAAACTCCTGTCCCGGAAGCTGCTTGTAGTCGGCTTTGACGTAGGTTTCGTCGTCCATTACCACGCAGTCAAACTTCGTCAGCATCGTCGTGTACAGCCTCCGGGATCGCGCTTTGGCCGTCGTATTTTGTTTATCATCGCGATTTGGAGTCACTACCTTCTTGTAAGTCGATAGTCCGGCTCGTTTTTTGGCTCGATGCACGGTTGTAGACGATACACCCAGCTTATTTGCGGCATCTCGGAGAGAGAGGTTAGGGTTTCGCTTGAAACTACCGGCAACTCTCTTTGTCGTCTCAGCGGCTTCCGGTTTTCGATTTCCCCCCGATCCAGACTTCCTGGCTGTCGACAAACGTTCCCCAAACACTTTAATTACATTTGTAACGGTTGATTTGGCAACTTTTAGCGATTTTGCCAACTTTGCGTGCGAGTAGCTCGGATTTTCGCGATGCGCGAGCAAAATTTTGATACGCCGCTCTTCTTGCTTGGACGGTATTTTGACAACTGAAGAGTGAATTCCAAAATCAAAATAGGAACAACATTCTACACACACACACCTTCAAAATGAGGGGTGTTCAGGTTTTTTAAATGCAAAATTGAAAGAAATACGTCAAGTTGATATTGACCAAATTTTGACCGTATCACCCTTTACCATTAATAGCCCCCGAATAACATCACAGAGAAAGATATCACATGATCCTTTGGTGACCAATCTTGCCTCCCTCTCCCCCCCCCCTACCCTACCCATATTGTGAGGTAAACCATGGCCCACTTAGTAATGAAACAACATGATTTGGGTCTATTTCGAATATGAATTATCGGATTTGAAATCGGTTTTCACTCAAGTGCATACTATTCCTGGTTACTCGAAATTCTCGAACTTTTCCCTTAATATTACTGACTCCAAAACAAGAGCGTTTTATAAACTCAAAAAACACTGTTATTGCTATTGTCGATGTCAACAAATACACGTCAAAAGCTTCGCAATACGTCTACTACGAGCGCTGTAATAAGCAAAAAAAAGTCCATTACTAAGTTTGCCATGCTTTATTTACCGGTTTTCCACAGTTTATCTCTAAGCAAAAGCTGCCTCTAGGATTTCAAAAAGGCGTTAGTCATCAATTTATGGTACCTACACGTCACCCCGATTCCAAAATTATCCATATTGTGAGGTAGTTGGCGGTTTTGTAAAGTTTGTCTCTAATCAGATCCACCACCTCGGATTTTAAAACAGCATCTGATATTGATTTCCGGACCCTACGCGTTAACTCGACTTCAAAAATATCAATATTGTGGGTTATCTGACAGTATTTCCAAGTTTCTCTATATCCAGAAACCGCCATCTTGGATTTCAAAACGGCGTTAGATATCTATTTCTGGTCTCTGCACGTCATTCTGATTCCAAAAATACCCATATTGTGGGGTATTTGACAATATTTCCCAATTTCAGTGTAACTATAGTCCGCCATCTTATTATGCTTACTTTTATTATTATTTTGCTAACCCTTATTATTACGGTAGTTATTTTATTTATTATGCTTATTCATATTACACATGGATCTCGATTTTGGAAACCCAGCTGTTTCATCTATGTGTCAAATCGAATTTTTTTCCACTTGTGCTAAAATTACGTAATATAATTTAAAGAACTTCCTAGCGTGTAGATTCATCACATTTAGCATAATTTAAAATAAAATGTGATTTTTGAACAATTTCAGAAAATTTAAATTTTAATTTATTTAAATTATTTTATTTGTTACGTCTATTCTTTATTTTTGTTATTCCTTCTTTTATTATTACAGTATAGTTATTCTTATTCTCATTATTGTTATATTTTTTGTTATATTCATTATGCTAATTCTTATAACAATTGGGTTAAATACCCTAGTGTACGTCATAGTAAGCGCAAAACACTTTTGCTCTTAACCACTTAACAAATAGTAGAATGTTTCAATCAACTTCTAAATGGATTTACCAATCGCATCGGTTGATTACCAAATGAGTAACAAATTGTTGTGATAATGATAAAATCCTTACACCACTATTTGACGCCCATTCCGTCATACGGTTTCAATTCCGGCAGAACACATTGAAATGCCATTGAAATCCATTCGGCACACGAGTGCAGGCTGAAAAAATGGTGTTGCTCGGCGCACTTGATTTGTTTTTGAGAAGAATGAATGTAAACATTCATTTGATGCGTTCTCATAATTATAAATTGTTTTGTAGCTTTTGAAGTAAACTGTCATACCAAGGGCTCGATTGATTCGGCGAATTTATTTATTTATTTGATGTTTCCACTGGATATGACGGAAATGGGCGTTTATGCCGTAGATGTTCCTTACCCTATCCAAATTTGATAAAAATCTACACCCCGATGCGAGCACGATGCCAGGAACAAAATTTTGCCCCGCATCGGCTTCACGTCGGAGTGTCATTCTGATAGGAATACGCTCAAAAGCGAAAATCGACACCCCGATGAGAGCCCGATGCGCCATGCAAAATTTTGTTCCACATCGGAGTCACATCAGTGCTACAAACCGAGCGAGAGCACGCTCTCGAGGTCTACAATTCCGATGTTTTGGTTGCAAATTAGCACGATACAAGGGGTCAAATCGGACTGTTTTATCGGACTTACGTCAGGCCGATAGTCCGATGCATCGGTTTCTCATCGGAGTCGCATCGGACCGACAATTCTTACTGGGTTGTGTGATTTACCTTGAATGTAATCTGCTCTCAAGTTCTCTCAGCGGTTCTCTTCAACTCTCCTGTTAACTGTGATGAAAATTTGTTATGGCTATGTTGCCAATTTCTGAAAGATGAAAACAATTCTAAGTAGTGAAATAGCAACCTTTATCGGTCAAATTTAAACTTATAGCTTTCAATACAGAAAATCAATCACTACTACAACTGAAATACAACAAATCAATCACTTCATAATCGAGCAATGGTTATGTTGATACAACCAATCGGCAACACTGCCGCACTGTCACACTGAACAGATAGTCTCTCAATATTCTCACCATAGTTTCTCTCGTTCTCCCAAATAAAGCAAGTTCTCCACTCTCCACCCAAAAGCAACCCATTTCCGCAGCCGCGTCCCAGCCCAACATGCAACATAGCGCGCGAGGGTTGAAAACAAGTTTGAGGCAAGCTGTTCTCTCACCCGTCCGTTAGTTCAGTTTCGTCGGTCGACCTGCGATGCCGGTTGGTTCCGTGAGTTTTTCCGAGCCCCAGTTCGTTCAGGTGTTCATCAGTAATGTTTGTGCCTAAGCTTAATTTGAATAATCGGTTCATAGAGCAACGTGAGCATCGACCGTTGAGGAAGACCTCTGGCAGATGCAGTTGCACAATACAGCACTGTAAAGTTCAGTTACTTTTTAATTGATAGTTGTGCTTTATTGGTGGATAGTAATTTAAGGGCAGATGGTGTTGTTAGTACGTTGAAAAATTGTTAAGCCGAAGATCGTATCTGTTGGCGTCTGTGATTTAAACTAAGTTCCACACATTAAATGAATAGCGTGACGTGATCTGGATGCTTTTTGATGTGTATAGTTGATTTTATGAAACATGGCCTGTTGATGAGCCGAGGAAAAGGCAGCAAAACCAACGAATGTGAATATATAGCGAATGAGTGAGTGAATCTCTGTGCTGAACGTCTAGTAGTGGTGCAAACGAAGCTCCATTGGCCGCAGCACCAACAGCAACAGAAGCTGTAGTAGCGGTTTTGGTCATCGTCCGTCGTCACCGTTCAGTACACACGATGCAAAAATGCCTTTCGTGCAACGTGTTGTGACCCCGAAGTATGTTGCACGGTCGATCAAACCGTCACATTCACGTGGAACCGCTGCGCTACCGGTTCAAGATTATGAACTGGAAGCAATCACCAACCTAACGCTGAGCAATGCCCTCCGCCAGCTGGCTTCGCTGGTACTCATCTCGAACCAGATCTTCACCGAACTCAACAAGGAACTGGCTAGTGTTAGTGAACGATCACTTGGGATAAAACAGCGAATCGACAATCTTTCAAAGCGAGTGGAGGAATTTGACCCAAAGCAAGTCGCAGTCCGTAAGTACCCCTCTGCTTTACTCTTCCTATTTTCACAGCCTCTCGCAGTCGGAATCTTCCGCTTTTACTTCATGTATGTCTGTTTTCTGTATGCTGTGAACCAGTGCTGTAATTAGGATTTGGAAATCTGCAATGGTAACTCGCAAACATAGGCTTTTTACGATTATGTAGCGAGCGTTTTGCTCGTTCTCAACTTAGTGTTCTAGATGCACTTCCACAATTATTAATTGAGAGCTTTCAATTCAAAACAATGCATGAATTTGTATATGTGTGGCAATGATATTCTACGCCCAGGAAATCGAGAACATTTCCAACTCGAAAGCTGTTCTATACCGTACCGGGAATCGAACCCGCCGTCTCCGGCTTGGTAATACCGCAAACATATAATGGCTAAAATTTCTTGCTAAAACATTTAAAAACGCAAAATTACAAATTAAAACATCGGTTCCGAATGCCATATCAACTAATTTAGAATTACTGGCGAAGCGCACCCGGTGGTGTTTTCACGTAAAACAGTTACTTATTCAAAGTCCAATAATTATGTGGTTCATGTTTTTTTTTACAAACAGTAATGATTTGCCTTTCAATCTAATGTTTACCAAATGAAATACTGAATCGGGGTCAAGTTGATCAGTGGGGTGTACTTGATCACGAAAATTTCTAATTATTGTTGTTCACATATGATATTTTTATGTCAAATTCTGTAGTGGCAATTTCTCATCGTCTGGTAGTGGCATTTTCGATACATGCAATAATTTCCTACATGTCTGCAAGAAGCCTAATCCGGTCAGATTAACAGAAGAATTAGGATGCGGGGGGTCCCCTTAGGGAGGCAACTAACATTTAAAGTTGTAGAATAAATCTTCCTATTTAATCTTGAACTTCAATAAGAAAACGCAAGCAAACCAAAAGCATTTAGCAAATTATCAAGGAGAGGAATAGTTTAGGAATTAAGTAAAAGTAGAGTTATGTGATAATTTATAACTTTTAATCTTTTGTAGGTATTGTTTTCCCCCTCAATAACTATATTATTCTCTCAAAACGCGAAATCTCTAATATATGCGGTTAAAGCATTTGAGTTAACTTATTTCTTAGTGTTCAAGTACTTACATTAACAGCAGTCAATGTTAATTTATGAACTAAATCCTACGTCACTGTAAAATCGATCTTTTCTTATGCGGTATTGACGCATCGATGCATGTTTAACTTTTCGCGGCTGTCGGATTCAACGCACCTACGTCTACGGAGCTTACGCAGAAGTGATTCGCAATTCGGTAGAGCTTGCCAAAAGAGTTTTGAGCTTATGTAGTTTAGAATTTGTTCGGTACGGTCTAGAAATCTTGAAATGATTGATACGTTTTTAAATTAACTAATTTGATACAATGCTCAGTAGTAAATAAGAAGAATATCTTGGGAGAAAACCAAAATTAATCAACTTGCCAACAAAGGCTATCACATTTCTTTTGGTGGCACTCTTTAAATGATAATAAACCTTTTTTTTCTCGATTCGGTGGTCTCGCACGGCTTCCGGAATTCGCGCGGTTTTCGATTACTTATATAATTTAGATATTTCGTTCGAAATGGATTTACTTATTCAATCGGTTTACTACGCGGATGTAATAAAAAAATAACAAAATGTCACGACTACCTGGGATTTGTTTAATGATGTAAATATTATTGGCCTGTGTTCCGAAGAATGGAATCTAAATTTGTATTACAAATACCAGCTACTGAGCAATAAACTACCTATCGACCCATCAACTTATGGACTGGGGACCAACGGCTTTACTTCCCTTCCGAAGGAAGGCGTGATCAGAGATTTTATTCCTCAGAAAATCCCGGCGGCGCCAACTGGGATTGAACCCAGGCCCTTTTGGGTGAGAGACAATAACGCTTACCACTACACCACCGGCGCCACTGCTCATGCGATTTAAAACTACTCAAAATACGATTTTACGATTTACGATTTTTTCTTTAATACAATTTTGAAACATGTAAAGTTTTCAGAATTATAAAAATACCGTTAGATCCTATAACGGAAAAATGTGACCATATTCGTTTTTCTTTTGGTCTACATAAGGTTAGAAGATATATATCAAGACTAACAATTGAAATGGCCCTAACTCCATTTTGTAAAAAAATCTTGTAGGGCCAACTAACATAATGAACAGGTAGTGGAAATTCTCCTCTACCCGATTGTGGTTTAGGTTTGCGAATGAAGGTTTCGGTTCGCGTGAAAATGACCTTACAAGGTTTGTTTACAAAATGGAGTTAAGGCCATTTCAATTGTTGATCTTGATATGTTCTATACCGTCACGTTTTCTTTGTACCGCTCTCTTTTTTAAATTGGAGAATTTTTCAGTATTTTAGTCATGCATACTGCCAAATATAAGTCAGGTTACGAACCCGCTGCCTTAAGCTTGGTAAAACATCGTCTTCACTGAATCTCATTTTTTATTTCTCAAGAAATCTATGATATTGTAAGGTTAGTTAGTTTTATTAATTAACAATCCTTACATTAATTGCAAGGTTTTGAAATAAAATATATGCCATTTGAGACCGTAAGGCCGCAGGTCACGATAGAAGCATTTGAGCTTAATTGCTAATAAATATTAGTTTCTAGAAATTGATCAAAAATTATAAATATCTCTCACTCAATCACCCTCTATTCCATTCGCAACGGATTTCCCATGCAAAAAGTTAATTGTGGAAATCTGTTTCGAAAGGAATACAAAATATGGCTGAATCGGTGGTGGAGATTTGATGTCTCAGAACAAATTGTCAAATAATTGAAAACAACTAACTTTGAACTAGAATTGCCTAGCTAGATTGTTTGTGTAAAATGATAAACTTAGCACCATCTGAATGGCGAGATCTAGAGCTAAATTAATGGTATCTAACGATAACCATTTTCCGTAACCGTTATCTATACAACTGTGTCAGAACCCTCAAGTCTACATAATGCATAAGTGAAGCACTACGATTTTTGTCCAACAAAATACCATTCTGCCCCAGTATGCACCGCAATAGACCAATTTCTCTTAAGGTTCAATTTACTTTAATGCATTTTCGAAAAATTCATATGCAGTTTTTTTTCGACGCATCATTTCAGATTGCAAAAAGCTCGCGTCATTCTACACTTTTTGATATTATACACAAAATAACGCGAGCTTTCAGCAATCTGAAATGATGCGTCGAAAAAACCTACATTTGAATTTTTCGAAAAAGCATCAAAGTAAATTGAACCTTAATGCCGGTTCTTACTTAAGGTGCACCAACCTCTCACTACACCACTGACATCTCACCTCTTCGTCTTCTTCTCCCACCGGTATACGTGATGATGCCTCTTTCCGTCTGCTTTTTATCTGCGCCTACTCTATTTCTACCGCATCTTCCCTTCCACAACATCCCGGAATGCTACGATCCGAAGAAGTGGAATGAACCCAAAAGCGAGCAATATTCTCTGTAAAATCGAATTGATGAATTTCCGGTGTTTGATGTTTGTATTTCCTGTTCCTATTACTCTTTATCTCGCTGATCCTCATGGTTTGTCTGAAGTTCCTGTCATTTCACAGCGCGTTTAATTTTTAGCACCCAAAACCATTAGTTTTAATTCCACCAATATTAGGAATGAGGTAAAATTGTAAAATACCGCTCTCTATTTCGACGTTCAATGCAAATGAAAGTAAGAGCCAGTTTCATTCGAGCGAATCATTTGCCACGTAAAACCGAAGCTTGAATGAACAAAAACTAACGGCTTAGCAGAACTGCAAAGTGTCTGTTGTCACTTTAGAATGAGCATAATGATATGTAATATACCGTCTGATGAAGTAAATCCGATTTTGAATGGTACTGTTTGTGACAGGTTTTCGAGAGAACTACATTTTTAAATTCGCCAAAGGCTAGAAAGTGACGATGAAGGCATTAACTTGGACATAATGCTTTCCTCTTTCGAAAATCGCTTCAGTTGGTGTCAACCTACCATTTTTGTTTTCGAGGTTGTACGGCCGGCTGAATTAATAAGAGAAATGAGACTCCCATGCGCCGTAGAAGAAATTTTACTGTAAAAATGAATAACGTATGACATTCGATCGTTGGTTGATGTAAGATCCGGAATGGTCCGGTTGAATGGAATTTTCTTCATTGAGACTGAGAAATACACAAACGTAGCTTCATGTGAGATGACCACAGATAGTGAGGTCGGGTGTAGGAAAAGTGATCAAAAATACATTCAAAAACTTACTCCTATAGGGGAAGTGCACCAGTATAGGTCATAGGTTTCTATTTTGGCCACACCTTATAAAATCGATTAAATTACAATATTCGTCCATTTTGTGGTCGAAATTTTTATGTACCGATGAATATGATTTGTACCAACAAACGGAACGCAACTAATCATCTCAAAATTGTAAACAACGTGAAATATCGTCATAAGGAGGCCAAAATATGAACACGGCCAACACTGGTGCTTTTCCCCTATTAGCAAATCCCGTCCATTGGTTTCGCTTGTTCGTATATGGTATGTTATATCGAGACAGGCCAAAATAAGGAACACCGTTTCATTCGTCTGTGATATTTCTCCAATTTAGATCACAGATAGCATCGCAATGTAAGTTACAATCTCACCTCTCCCTACTGTGGAACTACAATCGTTATGTATGGCCGCGTTTTTTTTTTTTTTTTTTTTTTTTGTGCCACCTCTCTCACTGCCTTTGTCATTTAATTACTGCACCATTCAAAGGTTTCTGTCGTTCGAATGGTTTGTGCGCCAGTGTTGCGTGTTAGTTGACCTTGTATGTATAAGCACCACCGCGTTCTAGCGCTGAAGATAGTCTTAACCTCAAAATGCAGTTTTTAAAAACTAGGGGAAACATAAGGGTGAAACCACTCATGTGCCGCCCTGCCACCCGGCTTATTGCCGTACAACAACGACGACAGGCAGCAAACTTACACCATGCCGTTACGCCAGACGGCAGTCGGTTTCAGTGGGACTCGGGCCA